ACAGAGAAGGTTTTCTCCGGCTGATGGGAAGGGGTGGAGGGATGCTCCCCAGTCCGGTTTCCTTCCTTTCCTCCCCAGCCAGGGTAGGAAAACAAGATTCTTCCCTGGTTGGCCCATTAGCCCAGAGAAGAGCCGGCCACTCCTTTCTTTGTCCACGGGGCCGCGTTTAATTGTCCAACTAATGCAACTGCATAGAAATTCTGTGAGGGGGACTTTCAGTACAAATACAGCAGCCACCGGAGGGGATTCACAGTTCCGGAGGCCGAACTCTTAGCTGGAGGCTTCAGCGACGTCATTTCCAAACTTGGACTTGATCGTTAGCCTATAACCGGAGGGAGACTGAATTTCGAAATCATCAGGGCTTTCCTGGGCGGGTTTTAAAGAGAGAAGTTTCCCTGGGGTCTGGTGGACCGTGTGCGGGACAAGGAGGGGGTGAAGTGGTGAGGACAAGAAAACTAACTAGGTGGATTCGCTGCTCAGCTCCTCATGGGACTGAGCCACCCGGAGACCCAGTGGCCGGGGGTGCAGAGGGAGCGCGCGGGACCAGGGAGATGGCAGGGAGTCACCGGAGGGGGAGGAAGCACTGGGGAGGAATGGCAGGCCGGGCCCGGGAGAAGAAGCAGTCCCGGGACTTTTAAGCTGGTGCCCGAGCTGGGGCAGCGGAGGGAGCACGGAGAGCGGGGACGCTGGCAAGAGCTCTGCTGGGAAGAGCGCGCCGTCGGGCTTACTGGAAACGCGTGGGATCAGGTTCCAGATCAATGAAATCTGGGTCCACACGTTTACGTTATTGTTGCCAGCATTAATGCTCTTTTAATCTTCTAAACATTATCAGCATCGATCTCCCTCCATATACACATTTGTTTGAGAAAGTGACATAACCACACGGTGGAAAGCCTGAAATAAAAATAAATGCGCAGCCTCTCGTGTCTAGGGCGCCTGGCGGCTAGGGCGCCGGCTCCCGCTCGGCTCCTCAGTGGTCTGCTCCCGCCCACCTGAAGGCGTAATAGGAAGGTGTTCTGGAGGCGCCAGGGATTCGACCAAGCACGGACAGTACAAAGATTTTCAATTATTAATCCGACCAGCTAGCAAGCGAAAATATCGCCTGCTCTGTGCCGGCGCGGGTTGCGGTGGCGTTCTGCCCCTCGGGCTCGGATCCGGAACTGAGCCTTGGGGGTGTGGGGTGGGGGGACAGGTGGGCTGGCCTGTGAGCCGCAAGCCGGAGCTGCGGGAGGGAGCGGACGCGGGCACTGCGAAAGAGGTCCGATCCCGCCCCTCGGAGGTGCTGTTCCGCCCCAGGAGCCTGAGGATGTCCCCCGCACCGCAGGAGACACACAGACGTGGTACCCTGGCAGGACTCGCTGCAAGACTGCCCCGGCCAAGTCTCGCCGCTACGGGCGTCAGGTGATCCAGGCGACATCTTGGCAGGTTGGTTAAGAGCCCAGACTGGCGGCTGGGAGCTGCTGTCTGGACGAGGGCGTGCGTCTGTGCACTGCGGGCCTGGGGGCTCCCAACTTACGGGACGCCTGATCCTTGGCAGGAACATAGTCGGGGGGGCTCCGCTGGGTCTTGCTGGCTTGGAGGAGACCACCCCGGCCACCGAGGATTCGATTTTCCTCCGCGGAGGCGCCAATCCAGATTCTGGCCTGCGTTCTCTCAATACCCCTTTGTGCTTGGTTCAGAGGCCTCTTGGGCTCAAAGCCCAAAAGTGTGCTGGAAACCGTGGGAATTTGTCGTCACTGTCCTTACCGTACTGCGGGGGACAGCTTTGGGGACCACCCAGGAGGCCCCATTGGGTCCAGTTGCAACCACTTCCTGCTCACGCCACCCTTTCTGATCTAAGTCATGAACTTGGAGTCTATTTTCACCAACATCTGCCGGGACCATTTGAGTTTCTCCCTTCCGTTTGAAAATACCGCCTTGGGCTGTAGACACCCCGAAGCCGTCAGGAAGGAAAGCTGTGGCGACGCGGTGATGGAAGAGAGAAAGGACCTACTTTTATCTTGACACATTGGAGTTCACTTACAGGGAGGTTTGCGGTGCTAGCCCAAACCGGACATCTTAGTTCTGAGGTGCGGCAAGCCCCTGCTGATTGAGCCTCCGGAAGCACTCAGAGGGGCCCACATGAGGACAAGAAAGGGAAGTTCAAAGGAGACGAAGAGAGAAAAGAGGCCAGGTCTGGGGGGAATGGGGGCACGGCCTGTCTCTCTGAGGCGCGGGGCTGGAGTCGGAGGATCCGGCGGCTTGTTTAACCCCCGGGGCCGAACAGCGTGGGCCCTCAGCGCCAGCCCAGCGGGGATTTCGATCGATACTCCTAGAAGGGAAGGCCTCGCTTTTCTTCTCCATTTGCTCCTGTCCCCTAGCGCTCCTGAGCACATAATACCTACTTACCAGCCCCAGCTTCTGTGTCAGTGTCTGAAGAGACTGATCTACTGACCCCAAACTGAAAAGCCTCCTATGTAATAATAACCACTCAACACACTTGTAGTTGCTGATAAAATGGCCAGATAAAAAGGCTAAAGCTCTTGTCCCTTTTCAACCCGGGGTAATAAAACAGACACACATTTGAATGCTTGAGCAAAGCGGGGTTCTCAGCAGGAATTTCCCATTCCCTGGAGGAAGCTTTCCCTCTCCTGCTGAGGCAGCTTCAGCACTCTTAGAAACACAGCTTGGACCCAGCTCTCTGAGGCCTGCCCAGGGACTCCCCGGGTGTGTTGGGGTGAGGGACTCCTGGGATGCCACACTCTTCCTCATCCCAGTAATGCTTGGGGCTGTTGTAAAGGCTGATGGCTCTAAAAGGTAAAGCATTACTTTCTTTCCACATCACTTTCAAACCTACACAGGCAGAAGGCACTGCTTTTAAAAGCTCTGTCCTTTGCAAGACAGGCGTGAGGGGGCGGCAGCGCTCTGAGTTGGGCCGAAGTAGAAGAGCTGTCATATTCCTTTTAACTGTACCCACAAGACCAACTGCCAGGTTCCTTTTGGTCCCCTGTGCCCAGGAAGCCAGCTAGTGCTAGAGCTCCTCCGAGAGGGGCTGGGAGCTTTTACTGGGGGCCTAAGACAAAGGGGTACCCATTGTTCAGAATGACCAGTAGGCACCCAGTTTAGTTTTCACTGCTATCCTCTACTTACTGCTTAATCTTTGCCAAAAACTAAGAGCAAATCAGAGAAAATGGAGGGAGAAGATGAACAGTAAGCTAAAGGAGAAAGAATGAAGATTTCCAAATCCACACAAAAGCGTTCAGAGCCCAGTAATCCGGCGGAAGCGCTTTGGTGAAAGAGGTTTTGTTTTGTTTTTACCTTCTCGGATCAATACTGCGGGCGATTACTGGCTGGAGACTGGATTCCTGCAACAGCGGGGAAAGGCGGAGGCTGTGAGAGAGGGAACCCCCCCTCCCCAAGCCCCTGTCACAGCTCCAGCCCCGTCGGGCGTCCTAGTGTGCATCCCACAAGCCAGACTCAGCTGTGCGAGGACAGCGGTGGAAAGGCGGAGTGGGAACCTGTCGTGGCCCCTTGGGAGGCGCGCTGTGCTCGGCTGGTTCAGAACCGCGCGCGTCCCCATATCAACGTCTATGCAAATCACTGCCACCACGAATTATCCCCCAGATCGCCCACCGATCCCGAGAGATCGCCCCAGCCCCAAAGAAGCGACCCATCTGGGCCTGCAGTAGGGTATTGTGTGTCCTTGGCGGTGGGGGGAGGGTGCGGGTAGGGAATGGACACTTCGCCCCTTTGAGCCCGCGGCTGGGTCCTGGGGTCAGCGCAGTCGCCACGCGCGCCGCGCAGGGTCTGTACGCATAAAAGCGCGCAACTGCTTGCCAGTCGCAGGCACTTCTGGGTCTTTCCCTCTTGCTCCTGCACCCGCAGCCCACACAGATTTCCGTGCTCCAAGAACAATAGAGGGCTGTACCTCGCGGCTTGGCCACTAGAGGAGGCACAAAGAGCTGAGCCGGCTCCAGAACAATGTAATCGGCGCGTCCACTGGTCCCCTCCCGCGGGCCGCCAGCCCTCCCCGCTGCCGCGCTACGCGCACAATCAGCGCCTGCTTAATGCAAAGGCGGAGCTTGCAGCCCGCGGCGGAGATGCATTAACTAACCTGCATCTTAATTGCTCCGCACCTCTTCCGCGAGCGCCTAACCTCTTTCGGAGCCCCGGCAAACCTCGGCAAATCCTAGCAAACGCTGGGAGCCGGGCAAAAGAGGCCGGCGAAGTACGCTGGGCACTCTCCACTCTGTCTCTCTTCTCCCGTCCTCCCAAAGCCAGTGAAGGTGGCAGTCCCAGTCTTCTTCCTTGCACCCTTCCCTCGGCGTGAGCAGGGGCACCGGCTCTTGCCCGACCCCGCGCTTTCGGTCAAGCCCGGGCAGAAAGTCCCCGCGCCGATACAAGGCCGGAGACGGGCTCGGGGAGCGCTGTTGTGTTCTAGTCGCCCGTTCTCGTGCGGGGCAAGACTATGGCTCCTGCCTCTGACCAAAGAAGTTTGCCTGATGTGGTGGGTTGGAGAGTGGGAGCGGTGTTTTTCACTTCTAAAGAGCAAAATCCCTCAACTGTCTTCATATGTAGACTAGGAGCCTGGAAAACGAAACCGTATTGTCTAAAAAAAGGTTCAAGTGCACAGGGCTTAGAAATAAAGGCTGTCCCTGTCTCCATGAGTCCTGGAAAGAGGGCTCCTAGCGGACAACGCGCACCCCCGCCCCACCTTCCATTACTAAGGAAGGTCGGAAAGAGAAGACAAACGTTGGCACATTGAGGGAAGGGCGAGTGAAATGAGTAGGGGGTCGGTCAACGAAACCTCAGGGACGCAGAGGAAGAGAAGAAAAAAGAAGAAAAGAGAGAAGAGAAAATGGAAAAAGAAAAAAAAAAGAAGAAATAAAGAGGAAAAGAAAGAGGAAGTATACAGGGCAGAGGTGGAGAGAACCAAGAGAAGCGGCTGGGCGCACTGACCCAGCCACCAGTACCGCGAGCCCTCTCCCCAGCAGCCTGGTCTCCGAGACCGCCAGGCTTACCTGCCAGGCGTAAGGCGGACATGCGCTGGAACTCGGGCTCCTGCAGCCACTTCCACATCCTGCGGAAGGTCTCCCTGCCAGATTTGAGTTTACTCCACGGTTTGGGGTTCCGGAGCAGGTCGGAGAGAGTCCCCTGAGACCGGCACAGCACCCTCTGCGCGAAGATGGCCTGCGGGATGCTGTAGCGCTTCAGCTCGGCGGTGATGCGCTGGGCCACCTCCTTGGTGTTGATCTCTTCCAGCTGGCCCGACGTGGCCACCTGCGAGCCCGACGAAGACGACGGCGGCCGCTCACGGCTGGGCGCAAGCACTGGCCCATGGGACTGAGCGTGGCCGGGGTGGTGCAGGCCGTTGAGGTGCGACATCATGGCCGCGGGCGGGGTGCCCAGGCCGCGGGACAGGTGCTGCTCGCCGCGGGTCAGCATGGCAGTGTGGTGCGCGTCGAAGTTGGGGCTGAGCATTTTGTCGTGACCTGGCGGCCCATAGTTGGGCAGGCTCTGCTGCGCGTTGTGCAGGCCACCCAGCCCGTTGCCCAGCGGCGTGGCGGCCAGCGGGGACAAGCTCTGGCCCATGCCGGGCATCTCCTTGTAGGGGCTGTAGAGGTTGTTCATGGCCGGGAGCCCGCGCTCGTCGCGCATGAGGGTGAAGCTGCCGCTGACGTTGCCCGACAGGCGCTGGTGGTGGTGGTGATGGTGGTGGTGCGGATGGTGGTGCGGGTGCGGGTGGTGGAACTTGTCGGACACTGTGGAGATGGGCGGCAGCGGCTGGAGCGGCGTCAGCGTGGTGTAGGTGTTGCTCATGCCCATGCCGGGCGGGGACGAGTCGCAGGACATGCTCATGGCGTGGTGCAGCGGGATGGAGAGCTCAGGCCGGTAGTCGCCGCCGTCCAGGATCGAAGCCATGCTGGTGACCATAGCCGAGCGC